GCTGGTATATAAAAGAGGGGAATGTAATGTGTGGATAGTCAGTGTGTAATTGATCTGCGGTCAGAAGTATTATTGACGTTCGTTGATATAGCGCGATTGTTGAAGTTGAGTATATCGTTAAAGTTATATTCGGAAAGAATAAACCAGTTTTATTAAGTAAAGACTTGTGTCGCTTAAGTTTCGTCGGAACGAAGTTACGGAAAATTAATTAACACACGGAGGCGTAACAATAGGATGAATGATACCCAGTATAAATTGGGTTCTTAACATAAATATTTTAGTGACTTTAATTATAAAATAAATACTTTAGATTAATTCTGTAATAATTTTAAGTGGTTAAAACTACAATAATATGTTTCATCTTGAGAAATTATTTTAATAAGATATGATCTTAGTATTTTATATAATAGAACTTAAATATTTAAGACAGTATAAAAATTAAATATTAGAAAGAACTATGTTTTTTTTGAAAATTCACACAAGTTTTTATCAGTTATACTTAGTAAGACATTTGTTTATTTTATTCATAATATTTCACCAGGTTTACCTGGCATCATCAGGTGGGATATAAGAACTGAGTCTAACAGAAATTAATTTAAAAAAACATTATCACTTGAAAATCTGTAATAATATAATCTACAAGCATGTGACTAAGCAATTGCAAATGTAATAAAGTAATTTATCAATAAACTATCAAATTTAGGAATATATAAATAAAACTTTTAGGCCTGAGTCTAATTATTGAACATTGTTCAATATATAAAAGAGAAGGGAATGGTTGAAATAGATATAAATGAACACCTTTGTATTTGTTAAGAATAGGATTACGTTTTTATTAATAGGGCTTCTTTTATTTTCAATTTATCAGTGTTATCTTCTCTACTGAGAAATTTTACCTTAGAAGAATCAAAATCCTCAGCAGAGAAAACAATATTAATAGACGAAAAATAAAAGAAGCCCTATTAATATAAAAGTATAACTTTATTCTTAACAAATACAAAGATGTTCATTTAGATCTTTTAATTGCTTTATTCTCTCTTGTATATAAAACAAATTTCAACACTTAGACTCAAGCCTAAAAGCTTCATTTATATATATACCTAAATTTTACAGGATTGCCATTATTATAGATACATGATTTTTTTAAATTAAATTATTTTAGCCTAAGTTCTTGTATCTCACCTGATGATGCCAGCTAAACTAGGTGAAACACTGTGAATAAAATAAACAAAAGTTTTACTATGTACAACTGATAAAAACGTGTGAAGTCTAAAAATCAGTTTATCCATTTATTACTGAAGTATTTTCATTAGGAGATTGAAACTCTCCAATGATTAAAAATTTAATTGTATAGAGAGTTACAGTCAGTGTCAAAAAGGATAATGCTTGAAATGAAGTATGAGATACATTTTATACTCTTCTGTTACTCAGGGTGATCTCGTAGATAGCAGTTCATTTTCTGAGTTCTCAGACATTGACCATTCCTCAGGACGAGGATCAGATGATGAAGATACATCAGGCTCTGGAGATGGTCCAGAAGGAGAAGAGAAAGAAGAAGGATCAGGAGGAAGTAGGATAAAAACAATTAATATCAGCTTATTTTCATAAACAAAGTGCTTTATATGTTGATTATGGTTTAATCACTAACTCAATATTCCAGTGCTAGATACTGAGTGATTTGAAATAAATTTCCTGTCAGAAAAAAAAAATGTGAAGCCCAATCTGTAAGTGTCCTGTTGTTATTAATTAGTTCCTCCAGACTTTTATTTACATTGGTGAGAATGTCTTAAAAAGAACAAATCTAAAGTTCTCATTAATTTTGTTGGCATTGACAGATAGATGATTTATATACTTTTTTTAAATCATAATAAATAATTAAAAACAATGTTTTATATTTTCACAATAAAAATTTTATTGAAGCCATATAGCTTCCACTTTAAAATATCTCTGTACAAGTACATGTTTCGAAACATGTACTTG